TTATAATCAAAATTTTCGTACCACAGAATCGATAGCAAATTTATGATCGCCTAGTTCAATACAACTTTTTCTATCACCAGTTAGGTCCCAAATACGCACCTTCGGATTATGACCACACTAATAACATCAGTAAGAAAAAATTTGTTTTCGTATTTGAACTAAAATATTTACTTCGCCTGTTGCTAAATATTGGCCATCTGGTGAAAGTGATAATGATGTTATAGTTTTACAGGCTGTGCTGATAACAAAATCTTGTTTGTGAGTGTTTTTATTAAAGAGAATAACAGTACGACTGGAAAAGTATATGTACAAATAAAAAATACATTTTTATAAAGTGAATATAATTTTACCCGGCGGCATATGCTACTGTTGAATGATCTTGACCTATAAGTGAATTCGACATTGATGTAAAACCAAGAACATGTTCAAGATTAACTTGAAACTGTAAAAAGATATTATTGTCAATTCATCATTATATTATGCTTTGATGAAATAGTTCTCATACTCGAGGTATACTTGATGATGTATTTAATGACTTTACTTTACGTTTAAGTGCGGAATATGATGTCATATTATTAAGATGCGTTTGTCCACGATGATTTATAGATATTGAAGATAGCGAATGAATATTTTCTACAAATAAAATAATAATGCTAGTTATCAAATATGTTTACCTGTCCGTTTTCGTCCTACATCTATGATGTATGAATAGGATCAAGTATGGACAATAAAATTATATGACGTAAAGGATGTGGGTGTGAGTGTGGGTGCATCTCCAAAATCTTGGATATGTGACACCACTCCGAGTTTGAGCTCGACCAAGTTCGAGCTCAATCGACTATCAAACTCGAGCCCGTACTTCAAGTCGACTTGGTTCTTGTCGAGTTCAAACATTTTGTCTTTGGTCCATGTCTACTTGTAGATGATTGACGGAAAAATTCATACGTGAGCCCGTATCAGAGAAAACGGGGTACAGATAAATTCAAACTTTGCCGAGTAGATGTCTAATTCGAGTTCGAATATAAATGAAAAAAAAAAAAA